GTGGAGACAATTGCTGAGGCCTTTGTCTCAGAGACTTTCGAGGGCCTGTCTGACGAGGAGCTTTTGGGCGCAATCATCAGTTATGCTGAGCGCAAGGTGGCGGAGGATGACGCCAAAGCTAAAGGTTGGGTGGTTGACCCAGTCCCCTCTGACGATGACCGCATTTTGCACGAAGATGACGACGTCGTCATAATCAAAGAAAGCGATGTCGTCCGAGCGTTGGAAGTGAAGGAAGAGGACGCCGTTCAGTGCTTGAGCCAAAGGTTGATTGAGCACTTGGATGCTGTTGAGAAAGACAAGGCTGAGGCTGGAAATCCCCAACTTTCCAATGCAGGAGAAGCGTCATCGTCAGGGACTAAAGAAATTTGATGTTTTCAATTTGTTTTGTTGTTTGTTTATCTTTTTCTGGGGATGTATTGAGAATATTTTGATTTTGGAATGAAATATTAATATTTGATGAATGAAATATTTTTATGAATGGTTTATCGTGACTTATCATTGTAACAAGTCAGAGTATGTCGGAAAAAATGAATAAGTATTTATTAAGTTTAAAGTCTCCGACATAACATTGATAATATTTTTACTGACAACAAACTCGCTTTTATTGAAAACATTCATTGTGCAAGTTCTTGAATGTTTCAAAGAACTTACAAATTTTATTGTTAATTGATCAAATCAACGTCAGGATTTGATATCACATTTTCGGTTAAATTTTCGGTGTCGGCATAATTCATAGTTCGTCCGACATCCACAAACTCTTTATTCGAACAAGTCATAAAAGACTTGCTTTTTACTGATAATACTTATTGCGAGCTCATCAAATCAACGTCGGGATTTGATATTATAGAGCGTAAGCCTCCCCAAACCATCTTCAGGGCTTGGAAGTATCCGGCTTTGCTGCGTTTGGCTAGGTCATACCATCTTCAGGGTATGAAACACGTTTAGCCTTAGCAACGAGGACCGATTTATTGTGGTCCGAGTGATCGAACAAATTACAGGGGTTCGTCACGCAAACTTTATTGATAACGAAACATGGTTCTTGTACAGAAGTAGGACAAAAGCTTTTTTACATGTCGAGGACAGGACCTTGGCCATAAGGTTTACTGGTAGTATTTCTTCAGATATGTCGTGTGTCAAGGATATTGAAGGGGAACACCGTCTAACGTCTCAAGTCGGTAGGTGCCATTAGAGATCAGACGATTTACTTTAAAAGGTCCTTCCCACTTTGGTTGTAACGGGCCGACATTGGCGCCAGTAACTCTTTTCTGAACAAGGTCTCCTTTGATAAATGAGCGTGGCTTGAGCCTTGAGTTTATGTATTTTTCACTTCGTCGTTTATAAGCGGTATTGCGAACCTCGGCGTCAGCCCGTAACTCATCGACCAAATCGAGACTGGTTTTCAAGTTTGCTGGGTTGGTTTCTTTGGAGAAGTGAGTGATCCGATATGTCGGAGAGGCAAGTTCAATCGGTATCACGGCTTCAGTTCCGTAAGCTAATGAAAACGGAGTTTCTCCAGTTGAATTTCTCGTTGTCGTCCGATAAGACCAGAGGACATAAGGCAATTCATCGGGCCACGACCCTTTTGCGGCTTCAAGTCGAGTTTTCAGGCCATTCTTGATAATCTTGTTTACGGCTTCTATCTGTCCATTAGCTTGTGGGTGATAAGGTGACGAGAAGAAATGCTTGAT